TTTACAGGGATTTTTGTTCTTTTTGTTCCTCAAATTATAAAGGGGGCAACCAATTTTAGATTTTAGGCCCCTCTCTCCCATAGTTTTATACGATGAATCTGCAGAGGGATCGATGGAAAGCATCTCGTCAGGGATATGTTTCAGAACTTGTGATGGGTCTGAAACTTGAGACAAGTCAACTCCGGGACCTTCTCAGTCAAATGTATCTTTAGGGTACAGAATAGATTCAGTGCTATAATTCATGAATGTTCCAGTGGTGGGAAGATACTCAGGGGAGGGGGATTTGTGCTGGGAAGGGAGCTTTGGAGTGGGGGAGTGGATTTGTGCTTGGAGGGGAAAGTTGTTTCAGTGGTGAGATGATACTCAGAACCCCACGGAAGGCTGGGCTCGGGCTCAGACTCTTCCACGCAAGGTCACTACAGACACGGGTGCTTGGGGACAGGGCCGGGTCAAGGGGGTGTGCAGAAGGGGTGGCTGCCCTGGGCACTGGGGTTTCATGTGAGATGGGGCAGGGCACTGTGAGCAGATTGGGGGGGGGATTTTTTTTGGGAAATTGGGGGACAGCAGAGTGTAAGAATTGTTATAGGAGGGGAAATTTGGGAGGGGTTGCTAGAAGTGGTGATTTGGGGGGATGTTTGCTGAGAGGGGAGATAGGGAAAGAGGAATTATGCAAGGAGGAGAATTCGGAGGGGGGGGGGGGTTGTGCTACAAGAGGTCATAGTCATATGGTAGAGAAGGGAGATGATTTTATTTTTTTTGTGGGGGGGTTGTGCTAGTAGGGCTGATTGGGGGTATTTGTGCTAGGAGGGGAAATTGGAGGGGTGAAGGGTTTGTGCAAGGAGAGGGAATTGAGATTTGTACTGGGAGGGGGGCTTTGGAGTGGGGGGGGGATTTTTGCTTGGAGGGGAAATTTGTTTCAGTGGTGAGATGATACCCAGAACCCCACGAAAGGCTGGGCTCGGTCTCCGACTCTTCCACGCAAGGTCACTACAGACACGGGTGCTTGGGGACAGGGCCGGGTCAAGGGGTGTGCAAAAGGGGCGGCTGCCCAGGGCACTGGGGTATCATGTGAGGTGGGGCAGGGCACTGGGAGCGAAGATTTGTGTTGGGAATTTGGGGGACAGCAGAGGGTAAGAAGTGTTCTAGGAGGGGGAATTTGGGAGGGGTTGCTAGAAGTGGTGATTTGGGGGGATTTGTGTTGAGAGGAGAGATAGGGAAAGAGGATTTATGCTAGGAGGATTTGGGAATGGGGGGGTTGTGCTACAAGAGGTCATATAGTAAAGAAGGGAGGGAATTTTATTTAATTTTTTTTTTTTTTGGGGGGGGGGGTTGTGCTGGTAGGGCTGATTGGGGGTATTAGTGCTAGGAGGGGAAATTGGAGGGGGGAAGGATTTGTGCAAGGAGAGGGGATTCAGGGGAGGGGGATTTGTGCTGGGAAGGGGGCTTTGGAGTGGGGGGGGGTTTGTGCTTGGAGCGGAAATTTGTTTCAGTGGTGGGAAGATACTCAGAACCCCACGAAAAGCTGGGCTCAGGCTCAGACATGGATGCTTGGGGACAGGGCCGGGTCAAGGGGTATGCAGAAGGGGCAGCTGCCCTGGGCACTGGGGTATCATGTGAGGTGGGGCAGGGCACTGGGAGCAGATTGGGGGGGGATTTGTGTTGGGAATTTGGGGGACAGCAGAAGGTAAGAATTGTTCTAGGAGGGGAAATTCGGGAGGGAATTTTTTTTTTTTGGGGGGGGGTGGGGGTTGTGCTAGTAGGGATGATTGGAGGTATTTGTGCTAGGAGGGAAAATTGGAGGGGGGAAGGGTTTGTGCAAGGAGAGAGGATTGGGGGGGGGTTGTGCTGGGAGGGGGGCTTTGGAGTGGGTTTGGGCTCAGGCTCTTCCATGCAAGAACACTTCAGATACGTGTTGGGAATTTGGGGGACAGTAGAGGGTAAGAAGTGCTCTAGGAGGGGAAATTTGAGAGGGGTTGTTAGAAGTGGTGATTGGGGGGGGGTTGTTTAGAAAGGAGATATGGAAAGAGGATTTATGCTAGGAGTAGGATTTGGAGGGGGGGTGCTATAAGAGGTCATATGGTAGAGAAGGAATGAGATTTGTGCTGGGAGGAGATTTTTTTGCAGGGGGGAGGAGGATTTGTGCTAGTAGGAATGATTGGGGATATTTGTGCTAGGAGGGGAGATTAAATGGAAAATGGAAAATTAAATGGAAAATACAATTTTAATAAGTGTAAAAAAAAAAAAAAAAGGAAATAAGATGATTAAAAATAGTAATAAAATAAATCTTAAACAAATTTAAAGTACCTCAGTCCCCCCCACCCCATTCATACGTGTAAATGTAAATGCACATGTGAGGTGTCCCTGCAAATATCGGAGGGAGCAGTAATTCCAGGGCTCCAATCACTTTAAAACTGGCGAGCTTTTAAAGTGGGCAGTTTTAGGTTCCGCTGTTTTCACAGACGTGCAAATTTTACATCTTGACATGCTTGGCAATTATTCACTCGGTGTGACATCATCTTTTATATTTGACCAAAAATTTGTGCTTGTGTGCATTAAAATTAATTTTAGGGTATTTTTCATACATTTTTTGAAGTGAATAAACAGTTACACAAGTATCTTAACCACTTCCAGTCCGGACACTTTCATCCCCTTCCAGTCCGGACACTTTCACCCCCTTCCAGTCCGGACACTTTCCCCCCTTCCAGTCCGGACACTTCCCCCCCTTCCAGTCAGGACACTTTCACCCCCTTCCAGTCCGGACACTTTCCCCCCCTTTCAGTCCGGACACTTTCCCCCCCTTCCAGTCCGGACACTTTCCCCCCTTCCAGTCCGGACACTTTCCCCCCTTCCAGTCAGGACACTTTCACCCCCTTCCAGTCCGGACACTTTCACCCCCTTCCAGTCCGGACACTTTTCCCCCCCTTCCAGTCCGGACACTTTCCTCCCCTTCCAGTCCGGACGCTTTCCCCCCCTTCCAGTCCAGACACTTTCCCCCCCTTCCAGTCTGGACACGTTCCCCCCCCTTCCAGTCCGGACACTTTCACCCCCTTCCAGTCCGGACACTTTCACCCCCTTCCAGTCCGGACACTTTCACCCCCTTCCAGTCCGGACACTTTCACCCCCTTCCTGTCCGGACACTTTCCCCCCCTTCCAGTCCGGACACTTTCCCCCCCTTCCAGTCCGGACACTTTACCCCCCTTCCAGTCCAGACACTTTCACCCCCTTCCAGTCCAGACACTTTCCCCCCTTCCAGTCCGGACACTTTCCCCCCCTTCCAGTCCAGACACTTTCCCCCCTTCCAGTCCGGACACTTTCTCCCCCTTCCAGTCTGGACACTTTCCCCCCCTTCCAGTCCGGACACTTTTCCCCCCTTCCAGTCCGGACACTTTCACCATCTTCCAGTCCGGACACTTTCTCCCCCTTCCAGTCCGGACACTTTCCCCCCTTCCAGTCCGGACACTTTCCCCCCCTTCCAGTCCGGACACTTTCCCCCCCTTCCAGTCCAGACACTTTCTCCCCCTTCCAGTCCGGACACTTTCACCCCCTTCCAGTCCGGACACTTTCCCACCCTCTTCCAGTCCGGACACTTTCCCCCCTTCCAGTCCGGACACTTTCTCCCCCTTCCAGTCCGGACACTTTCTCCCCCTTCCAGTCCGGACACTTTCTCCCCCTTCCAGTCCGGACACTTTCCCCCACTTCCTGTCCAGGCCAATTTTCAGCTTTCAGCGCTATCACACTTTGAATGACAATTGCGCAGTCATGCAACACTGTACCTTTTTTTACCATTTTTTTGAGACAGATAAAGCTTTATTTTGGTGGTATTTATTCACCACTGGGATTTTTTTTTTTTTTTTTTGCTATGTAAATGAAGAAGTCCAAAAATTTTGAAAAAAAAAGTGTTTTTCTTATAAAATTTTGCAAATAAATAATATTTCATCATAAATCTTGGCCAAAATTTATTCAGTTATCTTTTTAGTAAAAAAAAAAACAAAAAAAAATTAGTTTATAACCAAAAAATTATAATTTTTAAACATTTCTTTTTACATTTTTATTTTATTTTTTTTTTTTATACTTATTTATTTTTTTTTTTTTTTACACACGGTCACCCTAGCAGTACAGTGTCACCATAGTGACACTGTACTACTTGTGTAGGGTGATGAAGATTTTTTTTTTTTACACTGATTGCTTTTACACCCATAAAGGCTGTAAAAGAAATAATTTCTCCTTCTCTCTGGCTGCATTCTTGCAGCCATTGAGAAATACTGTGTGAGCTGTGATTGGTCACAGCTTGTCACATGGTACAAGGCTGTTGTGAATAGCCCTGTACCATGTGATCTCTGTGATCATTTACAGATCTCACACGTAATAAGCAATGATGTCAGAAGTGACATCTTGCTTACTACTCTGCATGTGATCACTGATTGGCCAATCAGTGATCACATGATCGGGACCTCGCACAGAGGTACCGTACAACGATCAGTGTTCCACTGTGTCCGGAGGATCGGATCGCGGTGCTGTGCACTCCCAGGGAGCGCGCACAAGCAGGGGGCGGGGAGGCTGTTTATAAACAGCCACCCGAGCCTGCACTGCCACCATCCAGCCGTTTATATAAAATGGTCGGACGGGAGGTGATTAATAATTGCAGTAGCCGCCATTTTATTCTCCAGGGCCTCTTCTTTCAGAAAATATTTAATGTTCGGGAGCTCTAGGTAAATTTCTAGCAAAAAATCTTCTGTTTTAACATGTGTGTGTGAACAAATAAGAAAGAAAAAAAACTTGTGTGGTCTGATCACTCGTATTTCCTTAAAATCCTGCAAACTCTGCCAGGGGCATGCTGCCGGTGGGTGTGTGGGACTCTTATTGAGTGGCGGATGCGTGGGGCTTATTCACAGCTGCAGAAATAATAGTTCTGTGTGGCCGGTTGGGGAAACGCCTTCCACAATATGGTCACGTTTCTTTGTATGCTGACATCGGGGTCTCTCACCCGCAGGGTCATCAAGATGGATCCTGAGGATCGGGTTTGGACCACAGCTGAGACGCACACTCTTCTGGATCTCATCCAGGATGGGGGCTTCATTCCAGGGCTGGTTGTGAGAGATTACTCCATCTGGGCTGTTTTCGAACGACTCAGTGTCCTACTCAACCGCTGCAACATCAAAGTCAGGTGAGGGGGTTGTTCCATTGCCTCATTATGGAGAACGGGACAGAATTCATTTTGGATTGTAAAATTCCCTCTTTTATGAAACGGTCCTTCAAAAATAGTAAATGTGAAGCTCTGCTGTATAGAGAATAATACTTTATCTGTCGCTCATTACATCATATAACATGAATCAAATGCATTGTAAAACGCTCCTTCCTATATAGCGACTCAAAAGTCCCCATGCACTTCAATGCAGTCTTTTATACATTCGCAGTTGTGACTTGGTATCTTCCTGAAGGTAAGTGAACCCAAAATCTCAACGCTGTGAGGATTTCTTGCAGTCACAGTGCTCTGCCTCCACGTCACCTGCAGCGAAAAGCCAGGTGACGTCACAGCCGTAGAGCGGCAGGAAATTCAATCCAGTATCCTGATACAGTGTCTGTATGTTGTGAGTTACTTGATTTTAAAATGTATTGAAATTTTGAAGTGAACCCACAATCTCAGTGCTGTGAGGATTTATTGCAATCACAGTGCTCCGCCTCCACGTCACGTGCAGCGAAAAGCCAGGTGACGTCACAGCCGAGGGTCAGTAGTGCGGCGGGAAATTCAATCCGGTATACTGATACAGTGTCTGTATGTTGTGAGTTACTTGATTTTAAAATGTGATTGAAATTTTGAAGTGAACCCACAATCTCAACGCTGTGAGGATTTCTTGCAATCACAGTGCTCCGCCTCCACGTCACGTGCAGCGAAAAGCCAGGTGACGTCACAGCCGAGGGTCAGTAGTGCGGCGGGAAATTCAATCCGGTATACTGATACAGTGTCTGTATGTTGTGAGTTACTTGATTTTAAAATGTGATTGAAATTTTGAAGTGAACCCACAATCTCAACGCTGTGAGGATTTCTTGCAATCACAGTGCTCCGCCTCCACGTCACGTGCAGCGAAAAGCCAGGTGACGTCACAGCCGAGGGTCAGTAGTGCGGCGGGAAATTCAATCCGGTATACTGATACAGTGTCTGTATGTTGTGAGTTACTTGATTTTAAAATGTGATTGAAATTTTGAAGTGAACCCACAATCTCAACGCTGTGAGGATTTCTTGCAATCACAGTGCTCCGCCTCCACGTCACGTGCAGCGAAAAGCCAGGTGACGTCACAGCCGAGGGTCGTAGAGCGGCAGGAAATTAAATCCGGTATCCCGATACAGTGTCTGTATGTTGTGAGTTACTTGATTTTAAAATGTGAGTGAAATTTTGAAGTGAACCAACAATCTCGGTGCTGTAAGGATTTCTTGCAATCACAGTGCTCCACTTTCACTCCACGTTGCGTGCAGCGCGAGAAGCCAGGTGACGTCATGGCCGCGGGTCGGTAGTGCGGCGGGAAATTCAGTGTCTTGTATATTGTGAGTTACTTGATTTTAAAATGTGAGTGACATTTTGAAGTGATTTCTGTCAATCATCGGGTTCTAGCTGGTGATTACTCGCTGGAGCCTGGTGATTTCCGAGGTTCTCGAACAGGGAGGAGAACTGATTTGTTTACTAACAGTTCTCCTCCCTGTCAGCTTGGGCACACTGCAGAGCACAGCCATCCAAAGCAGTGTGAAGTGAAGCACACTGATCAAAGGGTTAACTGTGTGCTGGGAGTGTTTTACTAGGGGGTGGTGTCAGCGTGCTTCACTGTAATCACACTGCTTTGGATGGCTGTAATTAGTACAGTGTCAGTGCTTTTTTTTTTAGCACTGATCACTGTATTGGGGTCACGGGGGATGTCAGTGACACCAATCGGTTCCCCCCCAGTGTCAGAATGTCCCCCGCAGTCCCGCTATAAGTCACTGATCGCCGCCATTACTAGTAAAAAAATGTATTAAAAAATCCCAGTATATATACCGCCATTTGTAAACGCTATAACTTTTACGTAAACCAATTAATTTACACAGATTGGGATTTTTTTTTTAGCAAAGACACAGAACAGAATACATTTTGGCTGAAATTTATGCCGAAATTTTATTTTTATTTTTTTTTTACTGGACATTTTTAATGGCAAAAAGTCAAAAATATTGTTTTTTTCTTTCAAAATTGTCGGTCTTTTTTTTTCTATAGTGCAAAAAATAAAAATTGCACAGGCGATCAAATACCACCGAAAGAAAGCTCAATTCATGGGAAAAAAATGTTGTAAATTTCATTTGGGTGTAGCGCCGCATAACCGCGCAATTGTCATTTAAAGTAACACAGCGTCGTAACGCAAAAAATGGCCTGCTCAGGAAGGGGGGGGGGGAATCCTGAGGAGGGGGAGGGGTTAATTCAGAAAATGCTAAAAATTCTCTGATTGGCACCTGTTTTGAGCTGCTGACTCCCTGTATTCACATTGCATCAGGCAGGATGCTCAGCACAGGACCCGGAAGTGGAGATCAGCGGAGTAGCGGTGTCTACCCCAGTGATTTCCAGCCTTTAGGGGCACCGGGCAGGTATGGTACATCCACTTGCCGACCAGTCACATACCATCGGTCTTCGAGTGGTTCTTTTTGTTGTACACAAGACGTGCCTGGTTGAGGTGGGCAGTATCTACTACACATTCCTGGCGAAGTTCCTGATCCATTGTATACAGGGGCGGACTGACCATTCAAGCACACGGGCACTGCCCGAGGGCCCGGGGTCAGTAGGGGGCCCCATGAAATGCCCCTGGTACCTTTTTTATAGGCTTTTTTGAGTGTGGGCAAGGACACAGGGGCCCCATGATTCCCTATTGCCCGGGGCCCCATGAGTTGTCAGTGATTGTATATCATGCATCATTTGTGGTCATCTTCCTCTCTGGTAGACCTCTGCGTGCTGACATTTACAGAGTTTTTTTTAAGGTGCAAATTTGACATTGCCACCCATCTTCTGCACCTCATCCAATCAGAGAACCCTTCACATTCATTCAGAAAGTGATTCATAGTGCGTGAGGCCGATCGCTCAGCACAAGACCAAGAAGCTCCTCACTGCTTTGTAGGGGTGGAGGTTACATTGCAATACAATCTAGGGGGTGCACAGTGACAAATGTGGGGTGGGAAGGTGAGATCTGTGTCGACATTCTTGCTACTCAGAGCAAACGTCACCTCCATGTCTGGATAGCTGGGCAGCGCAGTGGCTAAATGGTTAGCTCTTCCGCCTGGCAGTACTCGGGTCGTTGGTTCGAATCCCAACCTACGGCACCACCTGCCTGGAGTTTGCATGTTCTCCCTGTGCCTGCATGGGTTTCCTCCGGGTACTCCGGTTTCCTCACACACTCCAAAGACATGCTGGTAGATTAATTGATTCCTGTCCAAATTGGCCCTAACATGTATGAATGTGAGTTAGGGACCTTAGATTGTACGCCCCTTGAGGGTTAGGGACTGATGTGAATGTACAATATATATATGTATATTGACAGCGCTTTATAAGTACCTGAAATAAATAGCTGTAATCACCTCCCATCAGTGGTGCGGTGGTCTACTTGACAATATCTTGATGACTGCAATGGAGACATGGAGCTGATCTGTGCCATGTGCCCACAATATGAAATAATACATCTCTATTTTCTATGAATCGTGTCCCGTCAGCAAGGAGCAAGTGAAGGCACACTGGCGGCGTCTCAAGGGGAACTTCTGGAAACGGAAGAGGATGGTGGATGACGGTCAAGCTCCTGCACTCACTGGGGATTTCCCATTCTATGAGGAGATGGAGCAACTGCTGACATCACAGAAACCGGCCAAAGTCCGCAAGAGGGAGGCCGACAGTAGCGGTGAGCGGGGAGCTATACAGATTTTCAGTTATATAGCTTGGACATATTCTGTGGTGCTATACAGCAAACATTGAGCCAGTCACATCATTCTCTGTACCAGAGGAGCTTACACTCTAATGTCCCCCCCCCACAGTCACATCAGTCTCTGTACCAGAGGAGCTTACACTCTAATGTCCCCTCTCCCCACAGTCACATCAGTTTCTGTACCAGAGGAGCTTACACTCTAATGTCCCCTCTCCCACAGTCACATCATTCTCTGTACCAGAGGAGCTTACACTCTAATGTCCCCTCCCCCCACAGTCACATCAGTTTCTGTAGCAGAGGAGCTTACACTCTTGCTGTAGGAGTAAAGGGCCCCAGTATCAGTGTGAAGGCCCCCAGGCCGGGAGGGAAGGGCTACGGCCAAGGGTCAGGGAGGCACTTCATAGTTTCTTGCACCGGGGCCCAGAAGGTTCTAGTTATGCCTCTGGATAGCATTATTTGCAGAGGGGAACAGATAATATTCCTGCATTAGTTGAAGGACACGGTATATACTTCTATCAGTGGTTATACTCCATCCTCAGGATTTTTGGAGAGAATGAAAATCACAGAAAGGAGCCAACTACCTTTAGTGCTAAGCACAGTTTATCTTCGTGCCTTTTAGAGAGCCCAGTTTAGTTTGGTGTCCTCAATAGGTAGGTTGTCTCCTCCAGTTGGATTTTAGACTCGTCATCGCAAGTTTCTGCTGCAGCCGCTGGCAGATTCATGGTGGATTGCCAGGTCCCGAGAAGACCCTCATTAACAGTCAACAAGAGCAGTATCTAACTGGGTCAACCCACATTTTACTGCACAGCCGTTCTCCCTCACAACAGGGGCCACTCCGGGGGCAGTGTTCTTCACTATTACACTGCTGTGTGGTATGCTAGGTCACCGGATCTGGGAATTCACTGTAGCTGTCCTCTTCCTACTCCCAGAGTGGAAACCGATCCAGATATCCCAGGCTGGTTCTGAAGACTTACCTATTGGTGAGTAGAAAATAATCGCTGAATGCTATGAGGAGGGGGAGGGGGCATCTTATTTTTTGCAGGTATTGGCCCTTACTTTATTTCATTTTTCTTGTGTCCTAGGTTTGTTTTTACCATATTCCCTGCTTTTTGGTAAGGAAATCTGCTCTCACTCCAGGCTCACATTCTGGCTTCTTCTAGCACATGTACATGGGTCCTGGTCCTCTACGTGTTCTTTACTGCTGCTGTAAAGAGCTGCTATGCATGCCGCTACAAGCTTCTCTTGATAGGAACACAGCATAGTTCTTCCCTTCTGCACAGCAATGACTGCCAGGTGCCTCTATGAGTTACTATGGTATGACAGCCAAGGACCCTTCTCACTTCTAAGTCCTGCCTCTACTTATTGGCTTATCCTGCAAAGGACGCAGCATAGTTCTTCCCGTCTACACAGCAATGACTGCCAGGTGCCTCTATGAGTTATTATGGTATGACAGCCAAGGACCCTTCTCACTTCTAAGTCCTGCCTTTACCTATTGGCTTATCCTGCAAAGGACGCAGCATAGTTCTTCCCGTCTACACAGCAATGACTGCCAGGCACCTCTATGATCTACTACAGTCCGATGGCTTAGCACCCTTCTCAGTTCTAAGGCCTGCCTCTACCCTTTGGCTTCTCCTGCAAGTAGCACATCATAGTTCTTCCCTTCTGCACAGCAATGACTGCCAGTTGCCTCTATGAGTTACTACAGTCCAATGGCCTAGTAACCCTCTCAGTTCTAAGGCCTGCCTCTACCTATCGGCTCCTCCTGCAAAGGACACAGCATAGTTCTTCCCTTCTACACAGCAATGACTGCCAGGCAACTCTATGATTTACTACAGTCCAACGGCATAGCACCCTTCTCAGTTCTAAGGCCTGCCTTTACCATTTGGCTTCTCCTGCAAGAGGCACATCATAGTTCTTATCTTCTGCACAGCAATGACTGCCAGGTGCTTCTACAGTCCGACAACCTAGCACCCCCTCTCGGTTTTAAGGCCTGTCTCTACCTATTGGCTTTTCCTGCAAGGAACATAGCATAGTTCTTCCCTTCTACACAACAATGACTGCCAGTTGCTTCTATGAGTTATTACAGTCTTATGGCCTAGTAACCCTCTCAATTCTAAGGCCTGCCCCTACCTATTGGTTCCTGCTGCAAGGGACACATCATAGTTCTTACCTTCTACACAGCAATGACTGCCAGGTGCCTCTACAGTCCAGCAGCCTAGCGCTCCCTCTCGGCTCTATGGCCTGTCTCTAACCATTGGCTTTTCCTGCTAGGGACAGCATAGTTCTTCCCTTCTACACAGCGATGACTGCCAGACACCTCTATGATCTACTACGGTCTGATGGCTTAGCACCTTTCTCAGTTCTAAGGCCTGCCTCTACCCATTGGCTTCTCCTGCATGGGACACATCATAGTTCTTCCCTTCTACCCATCAATGACTGCCAGGTGCCTCTATGATCAACTACGGTGTGATGGCTTAGCACCTTTCTCAGTTCTAAGGCCTGCCTCTACCCATTGGCTTCTCCTGCAAGTGGCACATCATAGTTCTTCCCTTCTACACAGCAATGACTGCCAGGTGCATCTACAGTCCTAGCACTCCCTCTTGGTTCTAAGGCCTGTTTTTATCTTTTGGCTTTTCCTGCAAGAAACACAGCATAGTTCTTCCCTTCTACACAGCAATGACTGCCAGGTGTCTCTATGAGTTATTACAGTCTAATGGCCTAGTAACCTTCTCAGTTCGAAGGCCTGCCTCTACCTCTTGGTTCCTCCTGCAAGGGACACAGCATAGTTCTTCCCTTCTACACAGCAATGACTGCCAGACAGCTCTATGATTTACTAGGTCCAATGGCTTAGCACCCTTCTCAGTTCTAAGGCCTGCCTCTACCCATTGGCTTCCTGCAAGGGGCACATCATAGTTCTTCCCTTCTACACAGCAATGACTGCCAGTTGCCTCTACAGTCTGACAGCCTAGCACTCCCTCTCGGTTCTAAGGCCTTTCTCTACTGGTTGTGTGTACTTTCTTTTGCTGGGCCTAGGTGTAGCTCTCTCTTGGCACTGAGCTGCTTCATATTTTTACTATTAAGTAACTTCACCTTCTACTCATGCCTGACTGTTCCATTTTTCCTGGCTACTGTCAAAAAAAGAGGATTGGCCGCTTTGCAGTTGTTGGTGACAGCAGATTCATAAACAGCAGATGGTGCAGGCTGTTAAAAATCTACCTTACAACCACAGCTTTTGTCAGGAAGACAGATTACCCGTTCATCTTGCTGCTTGGACCACACAGTGGTGCCCCAGCATTTAGCCCAACTATCTCCTGATAAATTTGCCAGATAATTTTTAAGACCTATGCCTTCAAACATTGTTAGCCTCTGGCCACTGAATGTTGTTTCCGAACACTAGGCCCTTCCATGGCTTTTCATCATCAGTTCTGTAAGGCTGCCCTTGGTTTTTTGTCCACACTTTGGCCACATGTATCTATAGAGTGGTCATGGTTTTATAAGCAGATGTTAGCTTCTGATAGGTCCTGCAGGCGAACTCCCAAAAGTGGAATCTCCTCTTTTGTGCCCCATTTGGCACCTTTTGGGGGGGAGCGGGTACCTGGTTCTGACAGGTACCCACTTCCACAAGTTTGCCCACCCCCCAGCACAGCACAGTTTACGCATGTGCAGTAGGAAACCTCCGGTGAAGCTGCAAGGCTTCACCGCCGGTTTCCCTTAGTCAAGATGGCGGCACCAGCACCCGACAGATGATGGAAGAATTGGCTCGGAGTGAGGACACCACTGGATGCATGGACAGGTAAATTACCTAATATTAAAAGTCAACAGCGACAGTATTTGTACTGAACAACCAGCAAGGGAAGAGGTTTCATTTCCTAAGAACCAGTGACCAACCATGCAAATGCATGCAAAAGTGCATGTATGCTGCACATACATTGTTACATTTTGACTGACAGTCATTGGCTCTCTGAAGACCGAGAACTGGGCGGTCAGAGGTCTTTGATCGCTCAGCCTCAGTTCTCTGCCTTGGATGCAACAGGGGAACAGATGAAGTCATGGCACAGTGTATCTCAGCAGGAGCAGTAAGGGCTCATTCTCATACCAGCGGTTGAGGGGCAGTAAAACCTTGCAGTTGAGCCTCATTTTTAGTGCCCCCAAACTGCTCCACTAACTAACAACAAACTTCCCACCACCTGACAAATGCTCTCTAAGGAGCAATTCAAACACATAAAGCTTTCAGAGGCCAAAGAAAGTGTGAACCATCCCTAAAGGTCAGGAGATGCATCTTGTAGCAGTTGGGTTCACTCACTAGGTGTTTCCTTGTTGTTGGTGTGACTTGTTGAGTAGATTTTATTTAGCCGTGCCAGGTGGGTCCAGTGTGGGTAGGGACTGATCAATATACCAGTATGGTTGTACTTTATGTTGTATGGAAAGAAGTTTCAGACTACACAGAATGCTGCCTGATGGCCACCAAACTCAACATTGTTGGCCTAGAGTGGTGCCCCATAAGACTGTAGTTCCTAAACCCCTAAATGTCTCCTCCTCTGCCCTCATACCTGTGATCTCCATCATCTTGCAGGGCTGGAAGCTCCTTCAATGCTGGATTCTGAAGGCCTGGTCCTGTCAACAAGCTCCAGGGAGGAAGCAGTGGAAGAAGTGCAGAATGGTGCTAGGCCCAATGTCAGCGGGGAGGTTCCTGGAAGAGGTGCGGGTCCTTGTTTGTGGAAATGACACTTTAACATGGGCTTACTGAAGTATACACTCATACAAAGGGCTGTGTTTACCCGCTTAGGATTCACAGGTGTTCCATGCATCCCCATGTAAGCAGTCCTATTCATGTCAATTGGTTCGCAGCAGTTGCACAGACTCAGCTGCTGCTCCCGATTGGACATAACTGTGAGTACAGATGCCTGTCCCCCAAAAATTAGGGAACACACATACACATACACACCCAGACTGATGTCAAATTGGGGGGAGCAGCAGCTGTGCCCATGCAACTGCTACATTCCAGTTGATATGGATGGGACTGCCTGCCGGCAGATGTACGTAACACCTGTGCATCCAGTGCAAGCAAACACAGCCCTTCGCATGGGTGTACATCCTTGCCCGTGTGAATGAGGCCTATGAATGAATTGGCTTCTATGGAATGCATTCCTTTTTCTACAGTTTTTACACATCCTCTTTTTTTTCTGTGATTGACAAGATGGTTATTGGTCGACCAAGCCCATAATATCCCCCTCGCCCAGCCTTGTATGGTAACTTAAAACACCAGCTGTGCTCCGTACATTGTGCTCATCCCCTCCAGTGCCTGTAGCATTCATATCCGTAGCCAGATAACTAAATCTTGCAGCAGGCTTTCCTATAGACACCTAGCTGAATGATACACACACCAATGACAGGAACCTGTAATTCAAATTAATCTGCCAAAAAAAAATCTCTGGAGGAACCCTAGAGTTTCATGGAACCCTTGCTGAGAGTGGTTGGCCTAATCCAACCTTTCTCAACCAGGCTTCTGTGGTCCCTCCAGAGGTTGCCTGTCGTTCCTTGAGCAATTTCTGACTCTCATGTAAGTAACAAATAACCAGTAATATTTTTAGCTATCTGTAAGGAGGGTATTCTTCCCACGAACCACAATGTAAGAGGCATTCTTCGCAGTGACTATTATTCCAATGTACCATGAGCTTTAGATAGAATAAAATATCAGGAGGGGTTCCCTGAGACCAGAAAGTGATTTCTGGTCTCAGGGAACCCCTTTCCTATAGACACCTAGCTGAATGATACACACACCAATGACGGGATCCTGTAATTCAAATTATTCTGCCAAAAAAAAAAAAAAAAAACCTCTGGAGGAACCCTAGAGTTCCATGGAACCGTTGCTGAGAGTGGTTGGCCTAATCCAACCTTTCTCAGCCAGGCTTCTGTGGTCCCTCCAGAGGTTGCCTGGGGTTCCTTGAGCAATTTCTGACTCTCATGTAAGTAACAAATAACCAGTAATATTTTTAGCTATCTGTAAGGAGGGTATTCTTCCCACGAACCACAATGTAAGAGGCATTCTTCGCAGTGACTATTATTCCAATGTACCATGAGCTTTAGATAAAATATCAGGAGGGGTTCCCTGAGACCAGAAAGTGATTTCAAGGGTTCCTCCACAGGGCCATCTTTAATATTGATGGGACTTTGGGACATGAAATTTCACTCTCCACCTGCTCTGAGACGTACAATAAAAAGCAGCTAGGCTCAAAATCCGTTTACTGCAGCAGATCAGGCAGTTGGTTGCTGGAAGTTACAGCATATCATTACCGCTCAGTGATTGGTTTCTAGAGGTTACAGTACGTGATTTCTCATTGCTGATTGGTTGCTAGAGGTTACTGGGAACCAGATATCAAATAACTATATAACATACACATTTTTTAAATTTTCACACAATAAAAAAAAAAATTATACATAAAACACTTAAAAAAAGGGAAAAGATTCTGAATCATTCATATAGGTGCACCCAAAACAAATCTCCAACCCTCTTACATTTGTACAAATTGTAGATCAAGATAGCCAGTTGCTCTGTCCAAAGGAGGACCGTGCACAATACTGTAATTACATTTTATACAAGGAGGGAGGAAAGAGGGTCACCGTTGAGCTCTACGCGTTTCGTGGTCCAAACCGCTTCATCAGGAGCAGTACATATTAGAATCTAAAAAATCTATGCCGGACGAGGGTGGGTGTCCCTTCGCACTATCTGACCAATTGATGAATCTAAAATGTAACCTTTATTTAGATATATATAAAATGTATGCTCAGCTGTAATTAATGCCTATTGGAGTGGAATGTACTGCGCACAACAATATGACTGGATACCATTACAATTATTTACCTACATCCAATCCTATCAGCTTGAATATATAATCTCTATTAAGGAAATGGAGTTACCCCATGGACAAAACTAATGTAATAATGTAATACGGGTACACTCATCCACAAGCCTAAATGTCAGCCTCTCAAGGACAAGCCCCATACATCACCATATCCAGTCAAAAATACCTTGCTATCTTGAGGAATGCAAATGATGCACTGTATAAATGCAGTACAGACCTCTCCAAAAAAAAAGGGGAGAGAGGAGTAAATACCATGTGCATTCAAAAAGTGCTCCCAAATAAAGACCCAAAGAACAAAAAGAAACTCTACATGTTTCGGTCCAAAAAACAGAGCTTTGTCAGGAGTATAAAGAATTAAAATAGGTCACATAGTGGCTGGAAGTTATGCTTAGCTTCACATGGTGGCAACATGGCACCTACTGTTTGTTTCACCTCTATAGATCTTGATCTACAAGTGTAATATGGTAATAGAGGGTTGGATATTTGATTTGGGTGCACCTATATATTAATGATTCAGAATCTTTTTCCTTTTTTATGTGTTTTGTGTATAATTCTAAAAAATAAATTTCTATGTTATGTAGTTGTCATTATTTGATATCTGGTGCCCAAAAAAGCCCAAATATATTTTGGGATTCTGTGATTCTAACTAATAGGGTGTGGCACCATCCATACCACCCGTGTTTTGAATTTAGCTAGAGGTTAGTGCACATCATTACTACTCACTGATTGGTTGCTAGAGGTTACTGCAAATCATTACTGCTCACTGATTGGTTGTTAGAGGTTACTGCACATCATTACTAATAACTGGTTGCTAGAAGTTACTGCATATTATTATTGCTCACAGATTGGTTGCTAGAGGTTACTGCACATCATTACCGTTTCACTGATTAATTGCTAGAGGTTACTGCATATCATTACCACTCACTGATTGGTTGCTATTAGTTACTGTGCATCATTACTACTTACATATTGATTGTTAGAAGTAACAGCACAACATTACAGCTAGAGATGAGCGAATTATTCAAAAATTTGATTCGGCTGATTCGCCGAATTTGCGGAATAAATTTGATTCGATGCAAATTTATTCGCTGCAAATTTAACTTATTAAAAGGGTTTCTAGGCTTCAGAGAGCCTTTATATTAGTGCAGAACACTGTACCTTTAATTTAAATGCCCTTGGAGTCTGCTGGGGAAGAGAAATAATACTGTCAGTCAGTATGACATGCAGATGAGTGCCGTCGATCTTAGAATCACCGCACACTTCACTCATTTGGGCAGTCACGGGGCACGACGAAGAAGAAGAAGATGAAGAAGAAGATGAAGAAGATGAAGAAGAAGAAGAAGAAGAGATGAAGAAGATGAAGAAGATGATGATGAAGAAGAAGAAGATGATGATGATGATGAAGAAGAAGAAGAAGGATAAGAAGAAGATGAGGATGAAGAAGAAGATGAGGATGAAGGAAGAAGAAGAAGAAGATGAGGATGAAGAAGAAGAAGGATAAGAAGAAGAAGAAGAAGGATAAGAAGAAGAAGAAGAAGATGAAGAAGAAGAAGAAGAAGATAAGAAGAAGAAGATGAGGATGAAGATGAAGAAGAAGGATAAGAAGAAGAAGGATAAGAAGAAGAAGAAGATGAGGATAAAGAAGAAGAAGAAGAAGATGAGGATGAGGAAGAAGAAGAAGAAGATGAGGATGAGGATGAAGAAGAAGAAGAAGATGAGGATGAGGATGAAGAAGGATAAGAAGAAGAAGAAGAAGAAGAAGGATAAGAAGAAGAAGAAGATGAAGAAGATGAAGAAGAAGAAGAAGAAGGATAAGAAGATGAGGAAGATGAGGATGAGGAAGAAGAAGAAGAAGGATAAGAAGAAGAAGATGAGGATGAAGAAGAAGAAGATGAGGATGAGGATGAAGAAGAAGAAGAAGAAGAAGGATAAGAAGAAGAAGAAGAAGAAGAAAAAGAAGAAGGATAAGAAGAAGAAGAAGAAGAAGAAGGATAAGAGGAAGGATAAGAAGAAGAAGAAGAAGAAGGATAAGAAGAAGAAGAAGAAGAAGAAGAAGAAGGATAAGAAGAAGAAGGATAAGAAGAAGAAGAAGAAGATGAAGGAAGATAAGAGGATGAGGATGAGGAGAAGAAGAAGAAGAAGTAGGATGAAAATAAGAAGAATTCCAGTACAGCAAAAAGTGTATCTGCAGAGAGCTCTGCTATTTCTGACAGTTCTCTGACAGTTCCTTCACATTTACAGCGGTTGAAACATTGTATCTATTTGTTTCCGAATAAAAACATCTGTATCCTAAATGGAAACAAATAGATACAATGTTTCAACCGCTGTAAATGTGAAGGAACTGTCAGAGAACTGTCAGAAATAGCGGAGCTCTCTGCAGGGACACTTTTTGCCGGCTGTAGAAGGGATGAAAATCGGCCGATCGGGAAAAATTCGATTCGTGCATCCGAAGTTTGCTAATTTTTGGATTCGGTGCGAATCGAATTTTTCCTAATATTCGAAACGAATTCCACTTTGCCAAGTTCGATTCGCTCATCTCTAATTACAGCTCACTGATTGTTTGCTAGAGATTACAGCACTTAAAAGAGAAGTAGGTCTTTTTTTTCCCCATATTTGTACTTACCTAGGTGGATGCAGCATCGGTCCAGTTGGCAAGTATGGGACAGTTGCTTTGGGCCCCACAACAATGACTGGGCACAGGGCAGCTGCCCCTTTTGCCCCTCCATAAAGATGGCCCTGTTCCTCCAGGCGGAGAAAAGCTATTCTAATTTATTGTTCCTCCCACTTGCACATCCATATCTTCTTAGAAACTAAATAAACAGTTTTCCATTATCTGGCTGTGTTTGGTTTGTGTCTGTAGAAGTAACACTTGGCTCTGCTCTCCCCTAGGTTTGCATTCGCCTCCAAATCTACAGTGGTGTGTGCACACACTCAATACTACAATCCAGAATCTTCAGGATTTCTCACAACGGCTGCAGGATAGTGTCCAAGATGTCTTGAGGCTTATGGAACAGGTGAATCACATGTCTTCCTTCTGAGCCTCCCAGGTCCTCCGAGCTTCTTCCTTTGGATGTAGGCCTTATATGTCCTGCATAGTATGCTAATGCCCACTGTGGTACTCATGATCCCTCCCTTGAACAATAAAGGGACAAAGTTTTATTTTAGTGCATTGTGTCCAAACCAGGCACACATCTTCCAGTTGTTTATACATGTTTTGTACTGTGTTTTATTTTTTTTAATAAAAGTTTAATAGTCTTTCTTTAATTGTGTTCCTTAATAACATCCTTTAAAGCTGACCTCCAGACTTCCCTTCTGTCTTGCACCATTGCACGGACTTCTTTCCTGTACTATAATTCCTTCCTCTGATTTCACTCACAATACAAAAAGTTTGTTAATCACTTACCTTAGGCCTAGATCCAGTCCAGAAGACTCCTCCAGCCGTAGCCAGCATTGGGGGTAAAGATGTCTACCCCCACTTGATAGTTTGACCACTTCATATTCAGCGTAACCCCAGCGCTGGCTACGGCTGGAGATGTCTTCTGGACTGGATCTGGGCCACAGATAAGTGATTACCACACTTGTTTATTGTGAATGCATTTTATATTTATATTACTTTTTATTAAA